GTATGCGGCGCGGCCGACATATCGGTAGGCACATTTGACATAAAAGTTTTAGTAACATTCACAAGTAAATGAACGCAGTTATGTATGGTCAGAGTAATATATTTATTTTTATACTTGGGTGGAAAAGTTACCCATTTAGCCTCACCACAAGTTTGTCATCAAAGCAAAGCTTGCGCCAAGTCAACAACTAACCTTGAAAATCCTAACTTCGCCACAAGAACAAAATCAGAGTGCAGTGTTATGTTCGAAGTGTCAAACAAATGAGATTTGGGGTTCAATAATTACGAGAGTCTGACTACCTGCAATTTTCATAGATACGTTGGGCACGGAGATGGTTTGCAGCTAATTACTTGGAGATGGTGTGATGCATTAAAAATCTTCTTTCAGGAGACCACTTTTTAAAGGCTAGTTACATTTGAAGCAAGATATGGGATGGAGACACCCCCCCCGCCTTTGTGTTGGTCATTGTTTGATCGGAATCTCAGGAATTCTTTACAGACTTCTAGGGGGGATGTGTTAGGTAACAATAGTCTAGAGTGTGTATAGGGATTGGACAGGTAAGGGGGGGTGTACCCCTCCGTTCAATACCTTGCCTGGTATAGCTGGTTTAAATTCCATCCAAGAACCCCCCCCCCAACTGTCCACATCTCACCCACATGGTCAATAGAGGGCCTGCATTGGAGCGCCCTCACAGAGGTTTTGTTATTAAGATTTAGGGGTACAGTCCACTAATTAAGCCCCATTGAAAACAGTGTAAAATCAGCACTGTCCAGGGTCCAATAACATGCCCGCCAACATCCCTGAGATTTCTGAAACAAATGAAATTCTTGTCAAGTCACTTTCAATTTCTTTTCAATTCTTGTGTGGGTTAATCAATTACATTTTTAATTATTCCTACAAAATAAAATCACCCCCCCCCAAGAAAGTGATTTTTCCGAAGTCTGATTGCAGCCGTTTTTCAAGTGGCAACCCTCAACTTTCTCGGGCATTTAAGACCATTTTTCAACCATGGTTTTTAGCCATTCTGCTCTCATACGAAAACTCAAAGACCCAGGGAGTTGATCCTGGCAAGGATTTACACAATCTCCTTTTTCAAAAGATACTGTGGGGGCACTTTTAATGCTAATGAGCTGGCCAGAAATTCTCACTTGAATTAATGGTCTGCACCCTTAGATGACAATGAAGTACTATAGAGTCTCCTCGAGCATATCACACAGGACGAAAGACCTGTCCTCTGTGAGCGTGCTCCAATCACACCCTCTATACTGTGATGTTCATTTTTATTAGGACTCGGAAACCATCTACCATCAGAAGAAATATTTACATGTACTTAATTCCCAATCATGTCATTTTACACATTTGTACCAACGAATTGAGGCAAACTCTTTGAACTTTACTGAACAAATTAACCCAAATAGGGGGTTTATTTACGCTGTAATTGTTTCTACATCTTTATTGGTAAAATTAAAATCAACAAGTTTGAGATAATATCAGCCTAAAATAAAACATTAACAAATGGGTACAGCCAGAATTTCCCATAAATGCTCCTGGAATCTGGACTTCATTTTTTTCAAACTGTAAATAACACAAAGAAGTTTTAAAACTGGGTTGGGGTCAATCATGTTTTACTCAAAATTTCTAATGAATGTAAAGTGTGAATTCTGAAGTTCACAATTTGGACTACCTACATGAACATAAATACTTATCATCTGCCCACACTACCACTGGAAGTAGTGGCAGCACTCACAACCCAAACAGAGAGTAAGAAATAGAAAATGTGGGACTTGTTTCTAGTCTACCAACTCATAATCCTTCATCTACATACAACTGTACATAAACGTGAAACCTTAACTTTGACAAGAGCTCACCTGTAACATTGTAAATAAAACTATTACTGTATGTTGGAACTACATGTAGATGTCTATGAAAAATTTCAAGTATCTTGGAGACTGAACCTAGTGAAATCATACAGTGGTGGAAGGAAACTGTATTCTTTCCTATAAACTAAAATGTAGTTAAAGCCCTGCTGTTAGCTATTTTGTTTGGCCCCGCTTTGCAATGTTTCTTTTTTGACAAAGCAAGGATAGGAATGTACAATGTACAATAATGTATTACATATTTACAAAATCTCTTCAAATCTCTCAAGATCTCATGCTAGTGTCTCTGGATCTGTAGACGATGCCTCTGCTCTTGAGATCTCTGATCACCTGATTAGGAAGTCGTCCTGTCACTGAGATGGCATAGCAACCTTTGTGATATCGATCTGTTACAGTGGAAACATGCAATAACACAAAACCGATACAATAAGGTTGCACTGGCATCCTCAAATTGTTTTTTAATTTTCCATAATATATTTTTAATGCCACTTAAATTTAGAATCATTAATAAGCTGATAAAGAAGTGCAATTTCACATGTATAAAAACCAATTCGGCATAAAATGAATGTGACACAATTCTTACTTATTCTTTGCCACTTTCCAACCCAGCTATCCTCTGGACTAGTAAGGGCAATTAATCTGCAAAAAGAAGACAAAAAACTATCAATGAAGCACCAATAATGTTCATCCAATCTTTGTAACTAACAGAGAGTAATGGATCAAAATTTGTGACAAACTACACCAATGGTCTATCCAATCAACTTACCATGATGAAAAAATTGCATTTTTGAAACCAGGAAATTTAAGGGTTAGACCTTGCAGTGTTTCTTTATATTTCTTGGAATGTGACTCAGTGGAGTAGTTCACAACAGTTGTTGCACACTCTGCTGACATGTGAGTCCTTACCCATCAAATGATGTGCTTGTGCAGTCATATACATTATCCCTGTTGCCTTTTAGTTGAAGATAGTCTTCACAGTTATCACATCCATCCATCTCAAACTGGTCAAGCGTCTGAAAAAGGGAAAAGGAATGTGCAGTATATGGCTAAGATTACTACAAACGTTCGTTACAGAATAAAAATTTAACTGACCACATCAATTGACAGTCCATTTGATGAGAACTAACTGACAAGACCAAGATGGTTATTTCTCTTTTACTTTTCAATTTGGAAAAAGGTGCGGGTAGTGGTGGGTGATGTGAGTGTCAAGACTATAAAGCACAAGTGCACTTATTACGAGTCAACTTGTCTCAATCAATGATTTGTCTAGTCAAGTTGTCTGCCCATTTGAGGCACTGACTATCGAGTTGTCCTAAGTTGAGTAGGCAAATGGTCGAGTTATCTAAGCCTAGACTCCAGCTCAAAGTGATATGTAGCCCTAGACCGGGACAAGTCTACTGAACTACCTTCGTTTATATAGGATCTGTTCTTTTGACATCACAGTCATGTTTTTCCTAAAAGCAGCTGAAAAAATTATGGTTAAACGTCCTTACAAAAGTGAAGGAATTGTTCACAAAGTGCAAAAAAATCAAATGTAGCTATCAGAACAGCAAATAATACAAGCACACATGCTTTTAACTACATGTATTAGAAATACATATACAACCCCATTTCAAATTAATGGGACCAATGTCAATTTTGAGCAAACTTGAGATAAAATCGATAAGCAATCAAAAGGTGATACTTCCATAAATTCTAGCCTCTCTTACAAAGTTTAGGCAAAATGAGAGTGGTTCGTACAGTCATGACAGTGGAACACTGTTTGAACCAAGTTGTAACTGTAAGGTCCTCGAGACTTCACACATTACCTTGTTATAACTGGTACCTTGCATTATCAGTAATTGAAAACAAAGAAAACAAAGACTTTTAGACTATATTCGGTCGCAGGGGACTTGCAATATGTCACAGCTACACAGTCTAGCATGAGTCACACGTCATATGTCCCACTGATTGCAATGGCAGTCATGCAATGATTAAGGTTTGTACCCCCGCCACCGAAAATGGTTGAATCAAGATGTAGAGCAAGCACAGCTACTGGTGGGCTCAATGCATGTGCAATCTGATAAACACAAATGGCATGAACGGGGTGATCATCAGCGGGTGGAAGCAAGACATTGGTGAGTAAAATCTCATTTTTTTCAAAAATATCAGTCTCATGCTCTGAAACCTTGTTTGCATCCTTTTAAAGAGCTATAGATTACTTTGCCCCACTAGTGTGGCACAGACCCTCGTCACCACTCCATCCTTAACCACACATCCATATATGCACTTTCGTGTCAGCGTGGTGAAATCTTTGGCGCACCCTCTTTTTTTTTTTTTTGCACATACAAATGATCGTTAGTCTCTCCGCTTTCTAATGATCATTTATTGAATGATTTCACTCATATGATTCTGGTATTCTCTAGTCTTTTTGCCTTTACCCATGAAGTCTCACAGTCGAACTCTCACACACCATCTTTAAATTAATATGAGTCTGTTGAACTTTATATGTCACTTGACCCTGGTCCGCAGACGGCTGTTGCATGTCAAGAACTCTACCAAAAAATAAACGTACCTGCACAATCGCTCCGTCTGCGAGACTTTAGTTGTATACAAGATAAGTTTTGACATGGAACAGCCATCTGCGGGCCAGGGTCAAGCGACATATAAAGTTCAACGAGGGTCCGTGCCATACTAGTGAGGCTATAGATTACTCAGGCTTGCTGTCAGGTGAAAATTTGCTTGAATAACTTTGTTCCACCTGTGAATCATTCACCTATCTATCATGCTTATCAAGTTCCATTCAAAAACCCATAGGCTATAGCATTACGACATCATGAACATGATGAAGTGAACTGTATTGGCTCGAAGTCACAAGGAGTACGACGGAGTAGTGACTTTGAGTTCTCCAAGCAAAATAGGCCTATCCGTATCAACTTCAATCAAAAAACAAATAGGCCTAGTCCTACACCCAACCCCCCCAACATTGCCAAAAACAGCGCGCGCAAGAAGTACTACAATAAGCCTTTTTGATGTTCGCAATGCATTATGCGTTTGGATGACATACATGCAATGCATTTTATGCACAACCCTACGGGAGAAGTGAACCTGCAAAAAGGTTAATCTATTTCCATTTTGTTGCATACTCCAATTCAAGCCACCCCCTTCTGACAAAGTGTTGCATTATTAATTTGGGACGAAGATATTCACAAACTTCGAAGTTTAAAGCTTGGCAGAGAAGGAAAAGTCGGAGAATTCCTTCCAATAACACCACTTTTTGTCACGGACCGTGAGCTTCGACTAATTCGTGAATATTAATGTTCTAGTATTGTTCAATCAAAATTACGACTTGCAGCTCATTCATCCCGCTTTGACCAGTCACGTCCATTTTCAGCCTGTAGAGTGACTGGTGCCCTTAAAAAAAGCAAAGGGGGATTTGTTCTTACAAATATTTGAAAACGTATTTGAAAATGTTTCTTGTATAATCTGATAATACGCACGCATCTGTGAGTTGACGAGCAGATACATAAACATATTTAGTAGAAAACTGTAACTTGATTTTTGAGTGGTTCACTTCCCCCATAGGGTTGTGCATAAAATGCATCGCTTGTTTGTCATCCACACCGATAATGCATAGCGGACGTCGAAAAGATTTATTGTTGGACATGTTGGAACTCGGAGAATTTTCAGAACTCATTCGTCACTCATGTCCCTGGTGTGGTAAGGAAATCAAACTGCTCTACCTTTACCAACGAGCACATGAGACACGCCCTCAAATTTCTCAGCTCCTTTGGCACAACTTCCATAGTGTGATGATTTCTACTGATTAACGATCAATGACGAAAATGGCCCAGAATTAGGCCTGAACTAGTTCCACACTCCCAGACAAACCGACAAACTACCCCAAGCGCATTGTAATCTAGCGCCATCCCTCGGCATGCTGTCGAACGGCAAGTAACAACCTTGCTTTCAAAGGCTGCAGACAGTGGAAATCGGTAGGCGCTACTATACATGTACATGCACAACACGCGTAGTAAAGGTCATTCCTGGTGTGGTATCGTGCATTTATTTTTTACGAAAACGAGGTTGACAGACTTTCTTGGTCTAGTTCCCAACCCAAACAAGTGTTTCTATCGTACAACACAATGATTTCTAATGCATGTACTTTGTAGGAGCTCCAACTACTACGTCATTGCGTACTTGCTGATGCGTCAAATTCACGAACGCTGCGGCGACGGACGACCATTGTTATTACACGCACACAACTACAGCATTGAGTGCACAGCATCGTGTTCACTTTTGCGTTGCAGCGGCAACTGCGTACGAGCTCTACGAGGCATCTTACCTGCCGGACATGGCTGCTGATCATAAACCAGACGCGACTGGGCACGAATTGGACGTACAGACGATCAGTGCTGTGCGAGAGTTCCCATGTCTCTACGACCCTTCATCAAAAGATTACCGCGACAATCGGTCAGTTATCGAAGCCTGGACGAAGATCGCCGAAATCTGCGGTGCTAACGATTGGACGGAGTGTAAAGAGCGATGGAGGAAACTGAGAGATGCTTACGTCAAGGTGAAGAAGAAAACTTCGATTCGAAAGCCTGGGACCTACAAGACACCGTGGGTTCACTACGATTCTATGTCATTCTTGGCCAATTATATCAAGCACAGAAACGTCACCAAGAGGCCTTTAGATACCGATGAAGATGTGGATGGCATGAGGTACGTGGGCGACCCTCCTGGGCATCACGGCAGTGTTTTGTGACTTTTAAAACAAACAGATATACATCATGCTAAATCCGCAAATTTTAATATAATTTTACTCACACTTACTACTTAGGAGTTAGGGATAGACACCTAGTCAAGACCAATTTAAAGTAGGCTAGGCCTATTTTCTTTCTAAAATTTGTAAGCAAACTCACAGGTATTCACTTGCCCACCCCACTTTGTTGTGTGCCTGGGCATGCAGAATGGCAGAAGGTGTTCCTGCAATTTTTCCACACAACTTACAATGCAGTCAATTGGCTTGATTACACCCTTTTGCCACGCAGCTGATGACTTGCTGACAAGCCGTCTTGATTCATTTAACTGTATAATACTGTATGTACCACAGAGCAAGGAAATATGTACATTATAGTAAAAAAAGTGGAAAAACACTTTTATTTTTAATAATAGGTCAATCGCAAGAGTAACATAAATGGTAAATGCTCACATCGTTTGAAGAATTTGACATGTCACTTTTTTGGTAGCGCTGAGGAAACCCTGGAAGCAATGGTGGCAAATCCTCCTAAAGGCAAGCGAGGACGGAAGATAGACCCCATGGTCACCATTGTAGAGACCATAGGCCAAGCATCTAACACAAAGATGGCAGCAGATGCCAGCATGGATGATGAAGATGGTTTGTTTGGGAGGATGGTTGCAGCTACCTTGAGGCGATTCCCACCTCGAGCCAAGGCCAGATGCAAGTTCAGAATCCAGGAGATTATTTTCCAACAGGAGAATGAAAATCTTGGCAGCTCACCATAGCAATCAGTCTGGACAAAATTATCTAGGGTTAACAATTGATGGTACTTACTGCTGCCCTAGACGCCATGTTTAGCAAACTACTTGTACAAAGAACTCAAGACGAAATAATAGGGGAGGAATGATTTTAAAGTTGGGGGCAGTTGTGGGACAATCACTCATCAGCCATTAATTGACCAATCCATTACACCCCACCTCATTGTTTTCTGACTGGTCACAGTCTTGAAACAAGTTTTGAAACATTTAAAACTATCCATGCTTTCTTGGACCTCTGAGGTTATTGTAATGCCATCCTGGGCATGTAGGAATGACATGTTTCAACATACAGGGTTTTCTTTTCTATTAGATTTAGAATTTACTTTCTGAAAAATTTTCTGAAAAAAGGGTTGCCTCTTTTGCAAGATTAATCGACATTGAAAAGGAAACTTATGCCAGCATAATGTTTAAACAAATCATCAGCTTGCTGTGCATAAACTAATGACATCACAGTTTTGCCCATGAATATAGAAATACACGTATTACCATAGCATAAAACTAAAATTGCAGCAAAATACCCTTCAAAATAAATAGTGAATTGAAAATTTAAAATGAGGTGTACTGAGACACCAAGGTGCACTTTGTTGGTTTGTATCAAAAACTTCACTGGAAATGCTTTACATCTTTTCATGATATATGTACAGGTATATTCCTGAAGAGGTGTCATCAACTCAGTATCTTGAACAGCCATGGTGGATATGCTTAGTGCAAAGTCTCTGCTTAGTATGGTAACAAGTCTTTTAGTTGACAGAACTTATGTAAAATGTTTATTGTCGTGTTTTTGCTTGTACATGGCATGATTCAATTTTAGTTTACTTTTAACTGAAGTAGAGATCTTGCGACACAATAGACTTCACACACACGCACACTGGCCATCTTAGGGGTGAGAGATTGTTCACTTTGTAGGCCTGTGTTGACAGTTTATGGCTGGGTGCTGAATATCCAAAAGCACTAGCAGACATGGATTTGTACATATGAAAGGTTTAGTTCCAATACATGTATATCCATTTGAAAAACATAAAATTGTTCCACAATTATGATGTATTGAAGAGCTTCAACCGTTTTCCCCCCAAACTTCTTTTGTTGACTCATGAAAGTTGTGTTTAGCTGTCTTAAAGCTGTAGAATTAGAAGCTGACTTCAGGCAACTGAGAAAGGGAACATGCAAGATTCTGAAGGACACCAAGATGGTGCTTATCGCATTTTGGAAATGAAATCTTCATATGCATATGTAATAGCGTATACCTGTAATTAAGCCAAGACATACAAGATGACAAGAATTGTAACATGTGTAACATTCTATGTACTGATTTATTACCAGCTTCAAGAAGTGTCAGATCTGAAGGAGTACACTTCTGCTTCTTTATTTTCCATATTATAAACTAGCATTTATTACATACTGTTAATAAAAGTCACAAGCTTTCCTTCATTCTGAGAACTCAGAGCACTTTTTTTTCAAATAATGTAGCGTAAAAGACAATAGAACTTGAAAATATAATACAGAATATGTAATACGATTGCTGGTAGCCTTGTATTGTGTTAATGTAATCATCCCTATAAACATTCCGTGGAACAGAACATAAACATCTTCGGAAAAAAAACCCACTTTTACCATCCTTGCAGAAACATGTACATGTATTATATTTAAATGCTAACTAACCAAACCTCTATAAATCATTTTGTTCTTTTCTCAAATTACAAAAACTTTTTTTGGCCTGTTTTAGGCACGTTGAGAACAACTTCTGGCCATTGAGAAATAATTTACAACTTAATTTGGTTAAGCTTGCCACGTCTTCATATCCTGTCAGATTTGAGCAATTTCACTGTCCACCTGAATGCATTCTCTGGGCCCACGAAGACTTAACTAAATATTCATCTTTGAAACAATGGCTAATACCATTTTGCATGATATAAACAAATTGCTTTGAATTTTGAAAACATTTATGAAAATGATACCTTCAAACGGCAAAAAGTCCTTCAAAAATTTCTCCCACTACTGAACACACTTTGATAAAGCGTGGAAAAAAATGCAAAATGCCATTGCTGCACTGTTTGTCTTATATACATGCACATGTGTATTTTCATGCTTACACACCTTGCACATTATGCATTACATGAGATTTACAACTAACCTTTCCAACTGACCACTAAAGAGAAGGTCCATTTTGGCGTAGAGAGGGTAAAACATTCAAATACTTCACACAGTCTAGTTGAACAAAAAATATATTTAAAGATCAAAAACTCAAGTTGTCTAGAACTCACAAACTGCATAACTAAATTGGTAACTTTAATGCAATACTCGGAAGTCACACAAGCATATAAATTCATGGGTTAGACATAAGATTATTCTCTTAATGCCACAATATACCGTAATTTTCAGAATATAAGCCATCCAGTGTATAAACTGCAGCACGATCAAATGAGCAAAATTAAGATTTAAATCGGTGTATAAGCAGCACCAGCACACTGCACTGTTATGCTGACGATCCAACCATAAATTTCAGCGGGCTGCGTGCTGAAGCACCAATACAGCAAGTATAGTACATTAATAGTTCCACTACATATGCAATCCTAATAAGAAAAATGCAAACAAGTGTTGCCATAAAAAGTGAATTTTAAGTCCTCAACTTGAATACTTTGGTATTCTTGCATGGGCCATTCATCAGCTCTTAACCTTTTTTCCAGAGGCTAGCAAAAGTGAAGTGGTTGGGGACGTACAATCATTAAACTTGAATTCAGTTACATGTAAGTCGAAAGATCGTTTTTATCTCGTAGGCCGACTATTTCTTGCCAAAAGGATAGGCTTTATATTAAGAAAAATACCTCTGTAACTGTACCAGAGACATTTTTCAGCTTGAGAATCAATGTATAAGCCACGGCTTATATTCCAAAAATTACGGTAGTGTATTTGAAAGTGGTCAAGGCTGCCACATACACATGAGGTCTTTATGTACTTTTTTCCCTATCGTGTGCATCATGCCTAGTGCTTTTGCTAATTTTTAACATTACTTATAGAACCATTTAACTCTCATGTCCAACTGATAAGCACATTGGAGATTGTTTCCTTGTACACATTAAATCTTACTTCATTAATATCTCTTAAAAGTGTCTCATTTGAATCGTGGGCCGGCCGTTGAGAAAAGCAGTTGTTGTTTCTTCTTTCCTTTCCTTCCTCGCTTACCTGAACCAGGAGATGAAGTCACTTCATCATCTGCATTAAAAAGACGAAAAACCAATGCAAGTACAGCCAAGCTTAAGCAACAAAACAACAGCGGTAATCCCACCAGTGCCTGGGATCAACTGAACTGTACATTTTTAGTGATTTTATAAAGTATCTCAATATGTAGTTAACTTTTTACAGTTGTGAGGAATGAAATCTGCATCACGTTCCATCTCTTATCGTTCTATGTAACAATAAGACAGGTGTGTTGACAAACACATATGCCCCGCCAAGACTGCATGAAATCCCCTAAACATGTCATTATTCATTTGAGTAATTTGACCTTGAAACTTAATATTTTGCACCCAACGTCAATAGGCTTCTCAGAACCACTGGTTACAACCTACATACCAAATTTAAAGTCCACAGGACATGTTTGAATATTCCAAAGTTATCGTGCTGACAAGATTTTTTACTGTTTTAGCCAATTGAACCTTGAACCTTAATATTTTGCATCCAAATTCAATAGGCTTCTTAGGACCACTAATTACAACCTACATCTCAAATTTGAAGTCCGTAGAACTTGTAATTCGCAAATTATCGTGCTGACAAGATTCGTGGACACCACACCCGCCCATCGCCACACACCCGCCCATCGCCACCCACCCGCCCATGCGGTGTGTGGGCGGGTTCGTCACACATCCGCCCATCGCCACACACCCGCCCATCGCCACACACCCGCCCAGAGAAGGACGAGGCAGAAACAATATGCCCCTCAAAAAGAATACTTCAAATTCAGTATTCAATAGTGGCAACCTTCCCACACCTTTTCTAATCCCGTAAGATCTTTGCAGACTAACCTGTTTTGTTACTAGCTGCCAGTACAGCTGCTCTGTCTAGAGCGGCTTGTATCGCATCACTGAATGCTTCTTTATACTGAGGAACTGGAACGTAGTCTTCATTAGAACTGTCGTCACTACCATCCGGGCCTGGAAACAAAATTCATGAAATAGTATTTTATAAATACTGCAGAATTCATTAACGTCAGATTGGCACCAGTCTGGTGAACCAGTAGGCTAGAGATCATGGTTTTATGATCTATGCCACATAGTGGGTCAAGTGTTCTCATAAAGCTGTCACATAACCTATGGCACAGAGTGCTAGAGACACTTGCACAGAGGAAAGTGTTGAGAGACTGGTTTGTCCAAGAACACACAAAACAACCGCCAGTTGGTTTTGGCCCCCTGACCCTCTGATCATAAGTCACTACCCACTACTTCAAAGGACATTCCATTACCTGGGCCAGAGGCTTTACGCGTTCTACTGTCTCCTGCTAGATTGTCAGTCAAGCTTCTTGACTCTCCTGCCTTCTCTATCTTAGGCCAGTGACTTGTCTCTGGTCGAGCTTTACCTTCACGCAACATCTGTGAAAATAACAGCAAAGATGGCATGTAATTCCAACATCAATATCAAACACTTTGCACCGCAGATTGACAAAAGGCAAATCGACCAATATGAACCTCAATATACTTTCACAGCCACGGAGTGAGATTAGAGGAAAATGATATCCATGAAATAATCGCCAGAGGTTTTGAGGGCCCTCACAGCAGCGTAGGGTCTATGGTATAAATTTGTGTTTACCTACATGTACATGTGTCAGTAGCCCTTAAAATACCCTCATCTTGAGCTTGAGCTCAATGTCCATTTTATACGTAAAATCACATTAATGGCAAGAAAAAGATTTGCCAGATTTTAAAAGAAATTAGAAAGATCATGAAAATTGCAGATGAAAAATTTCTAAAATCAGGAAAAATCCTGACAAATCTCACAACTGAAGTTCCATTCAGCAGTGTTACATTTTGAACACCAAGTCCACCTAATGGGACATCATGGGTCAGTAACAAAGTGGCTAGGAGTTCCTACCTGTGCAAATGATGGACAGGAGGTTGTGTGGTCCTCCACGCTAGCTGCTGATGCCCAGCTTCCAATGACAGGTGATGGTTCACCAATACTATCTGAATCAAGCCCACAGTGCCCAGATGCTGACAAAAATAATCAATATGTGCACAGCAAGTCAGTCATTAGGTTTGCAGTCATGCTGTGAAAAAAGTTCACTACAGGAGTTGACTGGCAGGATCTTGTGAGTTCTTAGACAATGCTGGCCATATGGTATCCATTAAACTAATTACGTCAGGTGAGGCACAAACCCCCCCCCCCCAAAAAATGTAGTATGCTCTTGTTATTGTCTGTCATGACAAATATCCTTTTTCAAAAAGCCTGAAGATTTGAGAGTATCTGGTGTCTGAGTCAGTTATCAGGAAACTTTGTGAGACATCAAAAAGAAACAAAGTAAGAGGTTGACCCCCAGTTGTTACTTATGGTTAGTCATTCAAATATTTGGCATTTATGTCTTTTAGTGCACTATACCTGTATTCAAAAAAAATTATGTGTACTAGAAATACATGTGGATCTGGTCTGGACTGCCACTTTTGGGACCGGATGCATTTCAAGTTATAGATGGGATGAATCACAAATTTGGGGTTAATTTAAATATTCAAAACGCCCACTCTTTAACAAATGCCACCCAAAAGCTCAATTTGCTTTGTGCAATGTAACAGGAAGGATACAGAAACACACCTGTACTACCACGGACCACACCTTCATGACTAGTCTCCTCCTGGCTTAGACTCACAGGTGAACTAACAGACGAGGATATCGGTGAGTCTTGTGACGCCACACTGGATGATGTCTCCGAGATGGTATACGAAACATCCGCTGGTATGGAGTCTACACCAAAGGCAGGAAACTGGGTACTGCTATGTAAGGAGAACTTGGGAGGTGGATCTGGGTAAATGAAAACAACAGATGTTGAATGCTTCTAAAATGCACTCAACTGTGTTGACTGTTAGTACTTGATATTGGTTAAGATTTTCCTCACGTTTTCCATTCTTTTTGTTTTCCTTGAGTTGCATCTTGCGTTCCTGTCTTCTCTCATTGCGGGCCTTCTTTTCCCTGACTTTTTTTCTTTGCTGGAAGTCTCCTGCAGAGAGGTACAGTTAAGACTTTTAGTACAAACATTGAATTCTACAAACGTAATTAATGAGGACTGGTTTGTGTGCTGTTTTATAACACTTTAGAATCAATATAATTCTTTAGAATGTACACACAAGAATTTCTTGAATTTCCTGAGAATTTCAAGAGGTGTATTAACCTCATCACAGAAAATTTATCCCATTAATAAGAAAAAACAGTGACAGCTTATCTTGCTAGCATTCATCTTTAGTTTAATGTTTATAATATATTATATATTATAATAAAAACATATACGTCTATGAAGAAAACTTCCTTTGTCTTGCTGCTTAATCATTCAGTAATATGTTCTGGTTCAAATCAGTTGCATCTAGAGTGACTTACAGCTTAGAATAACATCAACAATTTTCAAATGATTATACAAAGATTTCCTACTTTGATACCATTCCTACATACCTGCAAAGCACTGCAAGGTTGCCTTGGAAACCAATGGTGGTTTGAATTCCAGCTCGCAAATTCCAAAGTCACAAGTCAGCGGCAGGTGGAAAAGGTATCTCAGCCGGCGACGGAGAGCCTGCATTCGTCAAACATTGACAGCCAAATTTACTTGTACTCAATAAACTGACATTCATATCCTGCATGTTGCTTCCAAATGTCATCTTTGGATCCGTAAGAATACTCGGCATAATAGTAAATCCGTTAACTGTCCTATGACGGTTAAATCTGTAATTGCCTTGGCATGGCTGGGAATCCACTGAACTCTACACAGGCATGCACCATGGCTCTGACCAAAAAATGACGAAATACCAAATCCAATACAAGGCTTTGTACAGTGTTTTGCAGTTTTAAAGATGAGTGTGAAGTGAAAAATGTGGAAATCAGCTGATTGGAGGGAAAGTTACATGGCTGTTTACAAGATCTAGCACTGCATTCGAGCACAGCAACAAGTCTGTTGCAATTTCGAGGGAATCCAGCCCAAGGTACAACAGTAATGGCTCGGCTCGCCAATAACCTTTCTGGATTCACCAGGCAAATTTCTGTCTCCTCCAAGTCCTTATTAGTAGATGAAGAAACAGGTGGAATTACCTCATTCATTGACATGTGTATCACCTCAACAATCTTTGCTGTAATTGTCTCTGGGCACTCAGCAAAGCTTCCATGCTCTCGAATCAGACAGCGCACATTCAGTGAATGTAGGTACAGATGTTGGCCATCTTCAGCTAATGACGGAAAAATAAGTAACTTTGGACAAATTTGTCAGGATTGGTGTTAATTGTGATTAATTTAATATACTTAAAGGAATTCTCAGAATATTTTATACATTCCATTGGCAATAATGAGAGTTTCAATCTAGTTGGAAAAAGCCTGAGAACAGGTATTTGTATTTGTGGTATCGATCAAAACAGTTCCAAAGGAATCATTCAAAAAAGTGCACGAAAATTCTGGGTATTTGAATGTGCCCCTGGAATGAAAATCTGGAATGAAACGCTGTTCCACAAAAGACACTGATGAATACTGCAACTTTTGGTCAATACAAATTTATACAAGACTCTCAAAGTGAAGAGCAACAAGTAGCCAGTTACGTCTGACATTATTGGTGCAAACCTTGATAGAAGTAATACACATGTTCCTTTCCATTGCTACTGCTTCCTACAGCTCCTGTCTGATCCTCCGAGAGAGATGACAAAGGGGTGCTCTGGGACCCATTGATGACATCACTGGCATTCTTTACACCTCCTTCAGCCATGCCAACTCCCTCCATGCTTAAACCTGGTGACTGGTGCTCTGTCATAACTGGTACACTTCTAGTACCACATATCTTGACATTCAATGTATCACGGGCCTCACCCTTCCTAGGATCCAGTTTAGGGGCTGGAGATGCCGGGTAATCTTGGAACGGCTCTTCAATGGTGAATCCTTGACTCTGATGACTAGAATCATGATCTTCTGATGGATCAATTTCTTCGTCAGAGAATGCTGAGGAGTAATGCTTATAATTCTGAAAAGATAAAATACAAGGAAAGTTTAACTGCTTCAGATAAAATCTAACATCTATAATACAGTGGAACGCTGCTATACCGTTCTTGGCTCCCAATAATTTGTGCACAGAACCTACCGGACACTATTCAGTTGCCGTTTGTAATTCCCGAACGTCAACATGATAAAACAGTCTGTGTTTTTTATGTTGGAAAGTGACAAGTGGCCATAATTTCCCCAAGGATTAGAAGGGAAAGCCACTAGTTGTCAATGGTATTGAATAGACACTGGTTTTGCGACTCCACGTGATCGGGGGCGGAAGAAAACCGCAAGTACGCGCACGGTGGCACTGTACTAACCATAGTCTAAAGAGGGCGCCGCTGACACACAAATCAACTAAGATTCGCCAAAGCATGCATCAGAGATCGATCCTGAGTGGTAGTTTCAAGACTTTTAGAATAAACTTGATATCAATTTTTGACTCAAATTTAAATAAAAAACAAAAATAATTAAAGATACATTTCTAGAAACCTTAAACTTGAATGCAACGGCAAAACATCACAGCGAACCAAGGTATCACAAGAGGGTGCGCTTCGGTTAGACAAAAGAGGGAGCTATTCAACATGGCAGTTAAATTCGCTATACAGAATGACCCCTGTACCGAACATTTAGCATAGACCCCGTCTTGTTCGTTATAGCGGCATTCCACTGTACTTCTCTAGAAACACACTGTAGGAATCCACTTAAGTAGAGGTTTTTATCGTTTCATAGAGCATACCTTGCAAGATTTTGACATCACAACCACTGGTTCTTCAACATCTTGCGTTTCAGTATCTTCTTTTAAGTTCAAACCTTACAAACAAAAACAAATTTCAGTGTTTATAACGACTGTATAAATTATGAACATCTATAATAAAACACAATAAAAAACTTCCTAAGCTCCCAGAATACCTGACCAGCGCTGTTTGAATAAGAACTTAGCTTCGGGAAAAACACTGAGCAATAACAGAACAAGAATAAAATTAGTTAAAAGCTTACCCACAACACGAGAGGCCAATGTCTGAATCTTGTGTGTGTTATAAATACCGTCCTCTCTTTCCTGGGGAAAGGAAAACAAAACATTTTCTAACATATTGCAACTTGAATCAAGAATAATGCACTTGATAAAAAGAAGTCGAATCTTTCTCATAGTTGTTAAAGGTTATCAAAATACAAGAATTTGCCTACCTTTAACATTTTCAGGGCTGCTTCAGTGAAACTGTCCTCAAGTTCCTTTAAAAACAAATCGGGGATCCTTGACTTAAAACATCAGGAAATAATGAAAACTAACTTCAACAGAATGACGTTATTCTCTCACATATACGCAGTCACTCACATGTAGTGCAAGAAGCAAAAGCCCCAAACCAAAAGACACACAGTGAGTGGAAATTTCTCCCTTTAACCCTCCTATGCTGAAGCCACTCTTTGGGTCACTTGGTAAACACCTCAAAGAAGCACAGCTGTGTCGTGTTGTGCACTGCACCAACAGTCCCTCACAGGAATATCAAATTAAACTTTTGTGCTGCCCAACAACTGTGCTTCACTGTTTCATGTGCATAATTGTGCTGTAAACCAAATGCAGTGAAAGGGACTGCACAAAAGACCCTGGGTCATTTTGTGCTGGCAATCTACTGTGTACACAATGAACCTGTGCATATTTGTGTTCCATGTAGAAAATACGTGCACAAGAGTGACTGTTGGGCACTCGTGCATATTTGTGCTGTTAAACAAAAGGAGGGTTAATGTCAGATGATATATGTCACCGTACTGCCTAAAGCTACCCTGCGAACGAACCCTATACCAACCTGTGTCACTTTAAAAATAAATTATGAAAAGGATTACCTGAAAACTCGCATGTAACAGATGGACAGATTTATTCAGTCAGCTACTTCACTAAATTTCCCATGAATGATGACGACTGTTGTCGCTTTCCTGCCAACTGCAGCAGCAGCTGATGGCCACTACCAAGCTGCAGGAGGAAGCCAAGAAGCAAACTGCAGCAGGAGCGGAGGGTGGTGCGCCCTCTGTGGCAGCGACGGCAGTGACGGCCGCAGAGGAGGACCAGGCAGCCCTGGCCGAGAAAGCCAGGCAGTGGTCGGAGAAGAAGCGGAAGACGGAGGAGGCGGACGTGGAGAAGACGGCGGAGGAGAGGGATGAGGGAGGGGCTGCGCCGCCGACCAAGAAGAAAAAGAAGAAGAAGCAGGTGAGGGCCAGGACGGCGATGCTCCTGACTTCCAGGAGCAGGTGCTGGTTGGGATGAGAAATACCAGAATTGGTAAAAAATCAAAACTGTCATCCAGTGAACTGTCCACGGTGAGCAAATACTGCAAAGCGGACCCAGTAACTTGTAACTTGTCACTTTGTGGCTTGTCGCTGCTGTATCGCTTTTTGGGGGAGGGGCTTGTTGCTGCCGTATCTCTTTTTGTGGGAGGTGCTCGTTTGAAATTGTTTAATTACTTAATGTTTGGTGCTCACTCTGTTCTGAAAGTTTCATTAAACACACAGCACTTGTTTGTTGCCACGAGTCTGTCACTTGGGGCCATGAGGTAGATATATACCTGGNAGTTCCATATAGAAAATACATGCTCACCAATGACTGTGGGCATTTGTGCTCTAAAACCAAAGGAGGGTTAAACAGAGTTTGACATGGACATCTTTCTAATGGCTTGCAGAAACATGTTTGGATCTTGAATACTTACTGCTTCATCTTAATGTCAGATCAATGACAAAGCCATAGCCTTATTATAACCAATTTAATCACGACTTTGTTATCAATAACTGTAAAGTGAACTTACCCCATTATTTTCCTGAAGTAGGACAGTTAAAGCAGCTCTCTCTGGTTCAATTATCTACAGGCAAATATACAAGTACAAGTTTTGTATTGATAAACCAACTGATCTGCCCCATCAATTCTTCAGCTTTAATGGGTAAAGAAATGAAGCCAGACAAGTTTGAAATAAATGCAGTTAAAGAAAAAAGTGACAAGGCTGACATATGTCAGCTACTGAATCCTACCTTTTCTCTGACTTGCTCTGGGGAAGCCAGCAATAATTTGACCATGCACGTAGTACTCGGATCATCTACAGAGGAAACAAATGCAAAGTATTCTCTCATGTACCACACAAATCTAGAAGATTTCTTTTTCACTATGATTTGTATTTAATTTTTCTTACCATCAATGTTGAAGAGTTTGCCATACTCTCTGGTAGAGTGAGGCTGTGTAATGACCGAACCTTTCTCTCGTTTCATAAGACGAAATGTTATCTCATCACCCTGGCTGTAGCTATGAGTTGCCTTAGCAACAACACTAGAGCAAAAAAAAAAGCAAAAAAATAGCATTTGTGGCAGCTTGTTATATTAAAGAATTAATACAATTTACCTGCAAGATAAAACTTTCAGCCTCTCTGGTTCCTTAAACTTCATTCACAGAATTAGACAACTACACATGGTTTATAAATATCTTCTGAAATGAATATACAAAATTATAACAGGGCAGCATATGATGCGAGCATGAAGTGCAAAGCCATTACAGCGTGGGGTCCGGGGCCCCCTCAAGGGGAAAATTTTGGATTCTAGAAGCTCTGTGGTGCAATCTGAGGTATTTCCTGGGCACCTTCTTTAGACTCCTTGAATCAAATTTGCTCGTGTTGAAATGAAGGCAAGATTGTCATCGGGAAGTCATGAAAAGTTGATTTTATTCTAGGGGCATTTTCTTTTTTTACTGATCGGAACTTGCCATTGAGCGGGTGGTTTGGGATTACATGTATGCAAATGTACATGGGCGCAGCGCAAGTGGATGATGCACAGTTGCTTTCCAAATTCTGTATCTCAAAAAAACTCCATGGTCAGATTCCAGTGACAAAATCCTATAATTCCGGTGAAATGTGGTCAGTTGTCCACCTCGAGTATTGGTAAAACTACAAAATTACTTTCAAGATCTAAGCTTTTCATTTGGACTTAAGGGATTGTCAGAAGTGACAACATTTCTAGATTTGAGTCAGCTTAACTGGTTCCGAATAGCAACAATGTTTTTCTCGTAAAAAAGTCAGCCAGAACCATTGTAGCAACCTGGTCTTCTAATTAATAACTTCTTAATTTCGAGAAAATTAGTTCATAAATAACAATTTCAGTGAATTAACAAGTGAAACTTGTGTAAGTTTTGACTTGAGTTTTTCAGCTGTACTGCGAAAAATCAGCAACTACCCCCCACACTGCACAGTTGACAAACCCATTACGTCACATTCACATGTACATTTCTGTTATGCCTGTGTAGTTGAGTACGTGCGTGCACTTACGGTGTAATCCACAACTAGGAAAAATATGTGTTTAGTTTTTGGCCAATTTACAAAAAGCGTTAACTCCAAAGTCATTTTGATTAAACATACATTAGATGCAAACATTTATAGGACTGTTAAGTAAGAAACAAGTATTTGGAATCACATGTACAGAATGACTTATCACCCTGTATATTTTGGCCGATTTTTTGGGCTCTCGTGATTTTTGACAAACCGTTCAAAAATGTTAAAGTTCAAGACGGAAATCTAGCTGGCAAAAAATTTCTTTTCTAGATGTTTTCTGAAACAAGAATTTTGTACAAGAAGTTACATTTCACCTATTTCAAGCGATCTAGATCCATGAAAAATCCGGAACTACATGTAGGAAATTGGCAGTATTTTCCCCGAGGAAAAAACATATTTGAGGTATTGACTCTTGATGCTACAAAATGAAAATGCTACATGTATGACTGGGAGATTGGAAGCAATCCAATGTTTTGCTTTTGTACTACTTTGTATACTGCGTTTGGCTTTAACTTTGATCACCAAAATGATGCAAAGAGCTTTTCTGTAGTGCTGAATAATGATGGCAAACTCATTATGTTGAATGTTCATTCCATAAAGTCCCGTAAACTTTCTTTGCATTTACATAAACTGTGAACATGTTGGAGAAAAGGGAAAATCCAACAGAAAAATAGCAGGGCGGTGAGAATTTTGACAGGGCGGCAAAACTTTAGCAGGTCGGTCTAAACTTTTGGTAGAGCGGTCCCCAAAACCCCTTATAAAGAAATGAATACACAAAACATTTTAGATCTGCTTTCAACAAGACATGACTGATTATATAAAAATATTTCATAGGACAATGACTACATGCACGCCTAAATCATCTCACAGGATTAAAAAAGTCTGGCAAAGGGAATTCAAAAATACATTTTATGTTTTTACCACATCTAAACAGCGCTTTACTGCAACACAGCTTCACCTCTTGGAAGTTGAAAAGGGCACATTGGGAAGAGAGGGAATTTCATACAAACTTACATAAATAGCTGAATAAGATTGTTCTACAGCCTGGTAATTGGTGATAGCATACCTTTTCAGATCTTGCTGATGCACTGCTTCATAACAGATTGGACATTTCCTCCAAGTCTTCTCTCCAAGTGCCAAGTAATGCAGCATGCAAGTCCAGCAGTAAATGTGACCACAACGTGTGATTTTGGCTGGAAAAGTAAGGGTTAATACATGTATGTCAATCCCATTATTTCATTTGACTGATTTATCAATAAAACATCAGTATACACCTTTTTTAAAAANTGCACTGTGATTTACATGAGAAGGCTCTCAATTAAAAGTGACAGTATGTACATGTAGGGTGTAGGACATGAGTATGACAGGACAGGCAATGGTGGCAGGACGGGGAGGAGGTGGGTTCTCACCTGCAGTTGGTGGATAGAGACAGATGGGACAGGACGGTACTTCTGGACTAACAATCCTCTGTCAATGAATCAATGGATACTTTTCATTAACTCGAAAATCTGATAAATACACAAAGCACATGCAGCAATGTTGTATGACAATGAGGCACTTTTGACATAAGAAGTTTAGTGGTCAGCGTTTTCATGAAGAGGTGAATTTCTCACTGGAGCGTGAGACCTAGGTTTCAAGAAAATCGCATATGAACTTGGTCTCTTTTTCAAACACTTATTTTCCCAGTATTTAGCATGCCTTTGACTGAAGTAATGCTATTACAGGAAAGAGGGGATCTTAAATGCCACAGAACTGCCGAATAATAATTATAGAAGTCTATACAAATTGTTTAATAATTCGCCTCTTCATGAAAATGTTAAAATTCATGGGACTTTTGTCTATTTGTGAAAACGGATGATATTTTGCTACAGCGCATGCCAGGTGCAAAATTGTTACATTTGTACCCATTCTGGCATCACATTCGCCTCTTCGTAAAAATAGAGAAACGAGTTTGCAAATGATTTTGCCCTTATTGCTAACACTGTACATGTATCTATGGAAAACAAATTTGCCTCTTTATGAAACCGCAAAATGCGGTTTAGTTGAAATTTGCCCAAGGTACATCTTCGTGATTTGGATAAATACAGTAGATTTGGTAAAAATGATGACACCAAGTTGTAGGCATCGCAGAGCCTATTTAATTTTGCCAAAAACTAGAAATTTGAAAGAATCACGATTTGAGCTGTCTCTTCTGAAAACTGTGATGTACATGAAGTGGCTTCATTAATTCCATTTGCAGTTATAACAAACATAAAAAAGAAGAAAACACTCAATTGTTCCAGGTTAAGCCATCACACCTCCGTGCACTGTATGGTTGAGCTAGCTTTACTAATTAATCTAGGTACTGGTTGAGAAAGAGGTTAACACTGAGTATGCTCTCTTTAGTACATCAGTAGAATGCTCAAGTTGGCAAGTTACACTGACTTACAGTGAATGCTAGAATGAATTTGGAAATAAATAGAACTAGTGGGTTTGAACATTTAAGTGCAAAGAATGATGATGGATTTCTTGCGCAAGGGAAAATTTCTAGGGTAGAGCAAGATTCCTGTCAAATATGATTGATCTAAGCTAACTTTATTGGACTGATTTTCTTACCACTTGCTCTATGAGATCCCAGTCAACCAATTTATCTGAGTCCACACACTGGGAAGTGTAATCACCTCCAGATTTAACCACAAACTGGCAACTGCGTAAACATAATGAAGAAAACCACAAGATTAAATGCCCAAGAAATTCCTCAGAGTTTGAATTAAATTTGCTGATGCAAATGATTTTCACTAATACTGCAAAACCAGAAGGGAAACCAGCTATTAACAACACAGCAATATCAAAAAGAACTTTCCATGAAACAGGAACTTACTTTGCTTGCAGAAACTGTTCTTTGTTATACTTAGGATAGCGATGAGTCCACTTATTACGGCCTCTCCAACCTCCTGGCCCTCTGTTCTCCATAGAGGATTCTCGAGGTGCCATGGTGAAATTAATGAGATGATTTAGATTCATCTTCTTGGGCCCAGCAGGAAGGGCGGAGCCAAACTCTGCCCTCTGGGTCTTTGTCATCTGCAAATTATCACATGAAATGGGCCATTAAATTAACCAAACAATTATTTAACCATGATAGAGAAGCATTTCTTTGCATTCAAACTGCCTCATGTGATAACTTTTGGGCTAATTTTATATCATAAAGAAATATGTACACGTAAACATTATGATACCAATGAAAGTACAGTACAGGTCAGAATTTTAACCAAAAGGCAAACACGCTTAGCGTGTCAGCGTGTATCGATTCAAACAGACCCGAATGGAGTTAACCGCAAACATGAAACACGCTGACCCCTGCATAACAGAGAACACAGACACCACAATCCGATGCTACACGCAAACCCCAGAACAACCAGGTCTTTGTTCACCAGAACAGTCATTTTCCTAGTTTCCCACAATGAAAAGTATTCAGTTTGACTGCAGTTCAAGTTATCTTCAATTTCCACAGAATGTTGTCAGTAGTTTACCTTGTATGTAGCAGGCATCACAAAATCATTTTCAAAGATAAAGTGTTTTGTTTGGCCATACAGGGTTGATAAAAGTGCCATGCAGGCAACACTTTTTGGTTTATGTTTGAATTGATCCCAAAACTTTTGAATCAGGCACAGAAAATGTTCGAGCATGAAATCAATTTTTTAACCGAGACAATTATAACTAGCAGTTCTTATGACAAAACATTTCCTAAATTAGAGGAAGCCATTTTGTAAGAAATCCACAAGATATAAACAGGATTTGACCTCGTCAGTCCGTTAGCCAAATTTTAGTCAAGACGGCCGCGATCCTAGCATTCACACTCGAGCTCAGTGTGTTCAAAATCGCGTGAATATAAATTCGATGTGAGGTGGGGATTTTTCCCATAAGTTTTTTACCTTTGAGCTGGAAAACCTACCTAAAATCACTCTGATTGCGACAACATTAGGACAAACCTGAACGGCAAAGATCGCACCGAAATGAAAGGAAGTCGGGTCTGCACTAGCGACATGCATACACTGGCTGCACCCATGTGAACGTCATAAATATGCATGTCGTGTGACTTGAAAGGGCTGTAGCTTTGCATTTGTTGGCGCAGTATCGAAATGAATATGCAACACACTTGTTTCGATTTATGATTGGTGTTTGGGATGAATGCGCTGGGGTGGTTGTAGTTTTGTGATTGCTTGGTCGCAGCATGGTTGCGGCACGGTCGTGGCACGTGGCAGCAAATGAAAAAGTCCAGTTACAATTTACGAAAGTTCAGTAGGTGTTTTTTTTAATTTACTGGAATTCTGATACATGAACTAAATTTCCATAAAATAAGAAATACTTCATTGTAAAATCGGCTTGTTACAATAATTCTGGCTGATTTTTTTTGTGGTTACTGTTTATTTGTGAAAAAGTTTCTTGCACAATCAGGAATTGCTTAAAACTGATCTAGCATTACAACCAGCAAGAAAAGCATCGTCACTCCAGTTGATCCAGTGAGTTCAAAATTCAAAGTTTACATTTGGGAAAAAGTTTTGTAGTAGCTAAACACACACAGTGGACTACTGGCCAGTTTCACTGTATGTTTATACAATGTACATGCACATACATATACGAAGCTGGAGTGACAGATCTGCGTGTGCAGTGGTTCACTACACATTGTCTGTCACCTTTGCAGTCTTCGGTCACAAGCCCTGCCCAGATAATGATGATGTACAGGGTCAGGCTTATCATGCACCGAACCAGCAATGCACATTAAAAACCACAAAGCGTGTATTGAACAGCATGTCAGGTTCACTGATCGTGTTAGCGTGTCGGCTAAAATTCTGATCTGTACGGTACATTAAGCATACACAACCCTTTAGCAATAAAGAATATAAGGATGGGCTCTGCAGAAAGGTTTACATGTAGTTACCATCTCCATTTCTGAGATTTCAAATGTTCACAGTTGGCCATATTCGTGCTGGACCTATGATGTGTTGTGATGGTACTGAGTGCATAGCCTTGTGATGGTAATCTACCTATTCAAGATAAACTAGTCAAGCATGCAGCATTCGCAAATGCACTTGCAGGTGGTTGAAGCTGCCCATAAGAATATACATGTACCAGATTGCGGTTGCCGAGGTCCACACATGGTGGTATTGTTTACATTTAGTCACATGGTTGAAAAGGGTCTATAGACATGCCTTCACAAAGATAATCAACATCCCTGTACCACACACGTGTACCTATGCAATACGCACCTCATCACGTCTGCCTGTCCAGCCATTCTCCTTACTGCTTCGTGGTCTTTTATCAGTGAAGCCTCTGGATCTTTGAGGGTTGGTCTTACGTTGAAGCCCTCCATCTGGACCAAACTTAGACAGTGAGGGCTCTCTCTTCTTATGGTACGACTGTCCATTTCCATTTCCACGCCCATTGTCTGAAATATAAAAATGTTAGCAATGACTGTCTGCACAATGTTGCCACAGCATCTCAAGACTCACAGTATCTCAAGACTCACAGCATCTCAAGACTCACAGCATCTCAAGACCGATAGCATCTCAAGATTCACACCTCTCTAGATAAATGTTTAGGTGCCTGGATGAAGACTGTAATGTTGGCAAAAATTGTAATGTACAAGTCCTGGTAATGAGATCGTTTGTTTTTCCAATAGCACATACTCAGTACAAGGGTATCTGGGAACAGCTAAGCGTATACGTGATAGTCAGCACAGATATTCCCCCCAAAACCTTGGCTTTTTGAAATACCAAATTGGCTCATTTCAGTAAAGGCAAAAAAGTTATAGTTGGGAAAATTTCCACAATCATACAAATGTAACTTAACAAGCACAGGACACTGCCACTTTACATGTTTCTGCCTTCATGTTGAATGGTCTCTCACAGAAAGCAAGTATGATTACCACTGATTACTTGCCCAATGCCTCGCCCCAGACTAGGATCGGACCAATCTAATAGAAGCCCTCTGTACATGTATGCTCAGCCCCACACCTGAAAAGTGCGGACTTTGTGAAAAAACTTCCTATAAGCCCTATTTTTCTTACATACATGTACTGTGTGTGATGTGAATGCGTATGCAAGCGTGTTTCACACAAGACAACCATTTTTTAGAAGTTGGAGCTCGGTTTTATTTTAAACAAATTTTAGAGGATGGAAAAAAGGATTTTCTATGGTCCAATAAGGGTCTTCAAGTCTGAGGGAAGAATAACAAATTTTCTTTCAAAAAAAGTGCCAGCTATCAAAGACCAAAGCTCACAAAATGAAAATCGGAGACTTAATGATCGGTCAAACAGTAGGGGCGCTGCCATGCCATGCACATCACAGCTCAGGGACTGTCCCTGTATTCAGAAAAGTCCCTTTATTTGAGGGAAAAAACCAGTCCCCTGAAAGAGGAGATGTCTCCTTAAACAGCTATGTTTTTTCTCAGGTGGGCTTAGTCATGTGCTATTGTTGATTTTCTTTCTTGTATTTTCCTTTTATACATGTACATGTATTCAGTTATTTAAATTGTTTTTATGAACGTTGTGCCATTTCACTTGATAATTTATATCATAAAGAATTGATTTTCAGAATTTTTTTCATGCAGTCTTTTTGCCACTCTTTATGTAAAAGTGCAGATTCCTGCTTGTAATCCTAGAAGTAAAGGGTAGAATTTTTTAAAATGACAGCCTTGGGTGTTTTCTTGAACTGCTGAATCCAATTAAGGCATTAAATGGATCCCCAAGCAATGGCAGAATCACTGAGTAAAAATTGTCCCCATTTAGAGGGACATTCTCTCTTTCCGAGGACTGATTTTGTCCTTGAATAAAGGGACTTCTCCAAACAAGGTCAGTCTCCCAGTTGTGATGTGCACCTCTACTGCCAAACAGCAGGGGTCTTGCTATTTAGAGTAAACAAGCATTAATGAGCATCAACAATGCATCGACAAATTATTTATGCATATTTATGCAAATTATTTTCATTTGCAATGTTAACCAGGCTCCTACATAACAAATTCAATGTTCATATCTACCTCAAATGATATTTGAGTATTGAAATTTGAGTGACAGTCCGGCCTGTTTGTGCATTCCGACCGACTGCCATCTTGTTTTCGCATGAAAAGTCAGGGGTGGAAATCTGTAGCAAAAAAGTGCTACACCGTTGACTTGTGCACAAACTCACTGCTACACAGTGCTACAGGCTGGGAAGGGAAAAGTCAAGGGTAGAAATTCTCACAAAATGACAGGTACTGCGCCGGTGAAAACAGCGACCTTGGCGACGTACGCATGCACCAGCCAGTCCAAGGATCGGGTTATACAATCTTTTCTTTGATCTGTACGTACGCACATGCTCGTTGCAGTTGTTTTCACCGGTACGGTGTGGTTGCTACTCGTATTTCTGGGAAACTCCCGGGTGTCCCCGCTGCCCCATTAAAACACTAAAAACCAACCGCAGTTAGGCTAAATGTCCAATCACAAAATGGCAACAAGCGCTGTATATGCTGTTTAACTTCTACGGACTATACTATTTTATTGCTATAGCCTGCCTACTAAAAGTACTACTACTGTCACTGTGGTAGGCTAACTTGTTGGTCACGGTGGTAAACATGTATGACTAGGACAATGAAGTTCCACACCTTTTTTGTTGGGCTCAGATGGAATCTTGGACACTCCACTGGCAGAACGAACCAAAGCAATATTCTTCTCCATCTCTTTCTCTTCTGTCACCCACAATGGATGCCAAGAATGTTGAACTAACTGTCGGCACAGCCTCTCCAAAAGGAGGTAAAACTTGGTGGTTGAACACGAGGTGAGACATGGCGAGACGCGATCAGCACTCCATGATGCAAATCAAAAATCTAAAAAACCAATCTGTTGGATTAGGACAGATTTTGAAGTTGGAGTTTTACGAAAAAGTATCCGCAAAAATGAGCCTGAGATAGGCTCAAAGTGTGCTTTATAGCACGGGCAACGCTCGGTGTGCCTGTATTTGGCCCCAAAATTGGTCTTTAAAGACCAAGTTTGGCGATATTTGCGCAACTATTCGCAAGATAACTCTTCGTACACTGGCGACTTGCGCCGAAAGCGAGGCAAAGTCAGCCCATCCGGCAGGGGTCGAAGGTCAACTCTGTCATCGCTGGTACTCATGTACTCTGCCAAATGGATGTACATGTAATTGGCAAGGTAGCCAGTGTAGAAATACACCGGTATTTTCAAAACAAAACGAACGTGAACGCGCCATTGTGTGAGAGCTGCAATCGATCATGTACATTGTACATGTTGTATGTACGGTAAGATGACCCATCACTAACACTATACTATTACTTAACTTATTAGTTATGATAACTGTGGAGACTTCGGACATGTCAGAATCTGCTAAATCGACATAGGACTACATAAACCAAGGCAGAAGTGTAGTTGGATTTCCTTTTCTCAAACGAGAATTTTTTAAAGTAGACCTAGGCTATGTTGACAACTTAGGCCTACATATTTTTGTAAGTACAATCTTGAAGAACCTTGCGCAAATTTATTGTAAATTAATGTAAGTTTTCCTGAGTTGATTGGCCTTTGATAGTTTGAACAACATCTGTTCAAGGTTCAAGATTGTGGTTAACAGTGACATGATTGATTCATTCATTCATTGAATATGTTTTCCTGAAGCAGTGAAGTTAATCATTCCAAAAATCACTATTTTTAACATTTGGACATGCCGACAGTAGAGTCCAAGTTACTTGGACTAATTGATGTGATTAAGTTGGTACTGAACATATTTTATTTATTTTTTATTTTATTACACTTTCCATCTGTCCATTGGCCAACAATGAGCCTAAGTTTTAAAATAAAAACAGCACAATAAAATATATTGAACAATCTTGACAGAAATAATTGAGCTAGTGTATGGCAAGATGGAACAATGGAACCAGTGTTCAGCTCCTCTACAGGGGCATTCTTCCAATATTATGCTGAATATGAAAAGAGTGCAAGATGCGAGAACTGGGCTGTTGGCAGTTTTAAAAGGTTTTTACATATATGTCATGGTTAGGTACCCCTGAACTGTAGGGTTCATTGTCCCCTGCACTCCCATGATGAACCCCACAGTCAAGACGGTGCTGAGGTAATAGGGTGACTAACTTGCTTTTTCCTGCATGCTGATGTCATGCACTCCATTGAGTTTTCTTCTTCTCTCGCTCCTCCATCCCGCCCCAGCTCATTTCTTCTTGCAGTCATTCTTAGTTTATACAAGTACTTCTTTTCTCTCAACTATCGGACCATCACAATTTATCAGGAGAGAATCATGTACATGCAACTCAACTAACATGCATATATACATGTACATGTGTGGCCGAGCTGGAAATTAAAACCAGACTACATCAAGAGAGTATTTGATGACTAGCTACATGTACCTTTGCAACCTGAAACAATCCCTAGAACCATGGGACTTATGTTTCTGCCTCTCTGAGCGAACAATGGAACAAGTCCATAATTCATCATATTCATGTACAAGTACATGTAGTAATCACCTAAAACACAAAACACAGTCAGTTCTCAATCTCAAGTTTGTATACCTTTCTTATAAATATATTCTTGTTCTTATTCTTGTCAACAGAGTCGTTTCTAAATAATGGAGGAATATAGCGAATTTGATCAACCACAGACCATGAGTCGAGCATTTTGCATGCAGATCCCAGCATCAGAGTATGATGCACAAGGAGCAACAGAAACTGAAAAGGCACTGAGGGTTAGAATATCTCATTTTTCATTACAAAATATAATTTATTGAGTTTTATTGTTTTGAAGGTAGTACACTTAATGAAAACCTTGAATAAAACTAGTTTTATATGTAACTGGTTGTGCTCTTCAAACAAGCGAAAAATGAGATGAGTATAAATTGTAAAAAGATGTGAATTTTTCCCCTTGTAGGACTTAATGGACTACCTAGAGAAAAATCCAGCTGTGTACAAAAAAGTCTTGGTACGAAGGAAACAGGAAGAAGCAGAAAACGCTGGTGTGTTGTCCTATGTGAAAGTAAGTTACACGGCTTCAAAGTGCTAAGCTTCTCACATATACATTTGATTTTTCTGTTTTTTTCTTCCTGCTGTACCTTCATGGTCAAACATTACATAGCAATGATGATATGTACTTCACTGGTGTGCCAATCTCCCTGATGCCTGACCAACTTCAGTACAAGTAATTTCTTGAGATTCACAATCGGGGGGGGTCTCAAATATCATATTTTCTGCTTGATTTTGGGAGGATTGTCGTGCATTATCCTTAAAAGAATTAAACTTAAACATACTCATTTGGAACTTTTTGCTTCCCTTTTCCTCCCCAGCCCAGTACTGATATCTTCATCTTTTCCTCTCTTTTTGCTCTTGTTTCTCCAAGGGTGCATTTCAGTAATACCTTTATTATTCTTCTACTTTTTTCACAAAGTGCAAAGTACTGGCTGCAGTGAAAGGACCAGACTACATGGAGGAAGAAGTGTCCAATCAGGAGACACTTCACAAAATAGGACAGTTACAGTATGAGCTAGCTAAAGCCTATGACTATGCTCAAGGTGAGAGTTAGGGGGAGGGGGGGTTAGCATAGTGGTTCTTTCCTCGCTTTGCACCTACATGTATGAGGCCTGGGTTCGAGTCCTAGCTTGGCCCAGGCTTTAAGTGCATTTGGTTTCCAGTCCATACTCGCTTTCGCAGGTTTTCTCCGGGTACTCCGGTTTCTTCCTGCCTCTAAAACTGGACCTTCTTCCTAACTCCATAATGTGATGCTGATTAAGGGTTAATAATGTTTATGAATGAATGTATAGTTATTGGTGCAAATAGCCCATGTAGCTGAAAGCGCCATTAAAACAAAACACCACAGTGAGAGTTTGCATACTTCCACATGATGTACATGTAGCTGCTGGACTTTATAAACATGTGCAATTTACTTTCTTCGGGGCATTTCTGATAATGAGAAATTGGCACAAATGTTATTTAAATGTCTGACAAAAAGCTTTTCAGAACTACATGTATGTCTTTGCCCCTCATTAAATGTCTTTCATCTGTGTTACAATAAACCTTCATCCTTGCACCTGTCATCCTTGCACATGCAGTTGTGCACTGTAGGTCTTTTATTTAAGCAGCTAGACTGTGTGTCACATGTAAGATTCATTAGTGGCACCTTTTCTGTTTTGCAGAGGCTAACAAAAGCAAGAAGCGGTTTTCCCGACGGATTGCAGCCAAGAAGGCCCAGGCATCCAAGAACAAAGAGAACACCACTCCAGCAAACTTCAAGAAACCCAAGACTGCATCATCAAATTCCAAATGCAAGGCTCCCCCTCCCCCTTCCTATCCTCCACCCTCAATTTCATCCCCTTTAACCTCTGAGGATGACGAAGTGTTTGTGAAGTTTAATCTGCCAATAACTCCATGCCGACGTCCTTCTATTCATCGTCATGACAGCACATCCTCAATAGACAGCAGTATCCCACCACCACCGCCTCCACCCCCTCCAACCCCAGCCAATATGAAGAGTAACAAGATACTCAAGGAACGGACCAATGCAAAAAGTCAGGTTAGTGTTCAGTTTAACTATGCCTGACACATTGCTAGGTGCTATTTATTTACAAATTGTCATTTGAATCAAGCTTTCATTGCAGATGGCCCTTACACTTGTCAAGTATTTCTACAACACATAGCAAAATCCAACAAAAGCAAAATCAGTGAAAACTATGGAAGTTTGAAACTAGATTACTTGGCAATTTTGTTTGGACTCCCTGTGGATCTGATTAGATTTTTGAAGCATTAGGTGTGATTGATATATGTACATCTTTCATAAACAAATCCTTTCTTCTCAGCAGGTACATGTACATGTATTACTCACGAACTAAACATTTCAATCCTTTCGTAAATTCCCATTCTTCACTCTGATATTTTTGGTTTTCGACTGTAGGTCAGCTTTGAAAGTCCAATCTACAAGTCGACGCCGAATAAGCCACCTCTAACACCCAAACCACCATTGACGCCAGGGATTCACCCCAACCTCAAACGCCATGGGTAATTATCTTCATTTCATATATATTGTACCTTTTTTGCTGTCATTTCAGTTGAAATTGAATATTCCTCCTACCCCTCTCCGGATTGCCTCCAGACTGGAAAATAATTTCCTTCTAGAAAGTCAATCACTACAAAACTGGATACAAATACCATCTACTACTGTAACAGGTTTTGCCTAACACTAATGAATATTCATAATACTGTACGTTCAGTGTTTGTCCAAGAGCTTGAAAAAGAATTCACAAGCTTTTTCAGGAAAGACTTGAACCCACGACCTCATGTTTACTAGTGCACAAATCTTAACCACTTGACCAACAAGTTTGCCGGGGTTAGCTCAGCTGGCCGGTCCAAGTCAGTGCAGCAGCGAGTACTGCAAACTATCTCCAAGGAAGTACTTGACATTGGGGAGATACTAATTTTCAATAATGGGCTTTGCCCTTACAACATGATGTGACCAAGGCAAATAAAAAACCCTTAATTTTACCAACCTAACCAACTTAATAACTTTTCAAAAAATGATAACAGCAGTTACATGAAGGTAGTGCAAAGATTGTAATACAGAGAGACACCAGTTTTATGGCAATGCTTTATTACATTTCATAATTCATTCAGGTCATCAACTTCTTTGAGCTCCATTGCCAGTGTCCATGAAGAACTGATATCATTTGACAAGAGCAGACTGAGGGCAGTATCAACTAATAGGTACAGAGCACTCTGAATTGTGTAATATGCTTAGAGTTGCTTACTTTCAAAGAAACAAAGCTCTTAGAACATACAGCAAAAATCGAATGAAAACGTACCAGATTTCAGAGCAAGGGGGTATTTTGAATACAGTCCACACTAAATTGTTAATACCGAACAAAGTCAATGTAGCACAGAAAGGGACAAGTACTGCACTGTAACTGTAGAAAAAAGGCCGTTGGATCTGAGGTTGAACATACAAACAGAGATATTTGGAGCTTCATTTCTTGATCATGCAGTACTGAATTGACAGAATTTTTATTGTGACGGATGGTTGATCTTTAGACCAATGGTCAGTGTTGAAATCAAAACAAGGTGTGTGCACTGCCTTTGTTTCATTTCAGATCACCAAGGAGCATTCCTTTCAAGACTCCTCAATCCAGGAAGCGTGTTCTGTCAGCTAGTGTTGTTAGAGCTTCCATCACAGACATCTGTGGTATCTCTACCATCAGTGCTTTCAATCAACAGATGGTGGATAAATTCCGCAATGCACGTAGCCCTGTGACAGTTGTTAATAGTCCAGCTAGTGGATTCAACAGCCCAGAGAGTGGATTTAATAGCCCAACAGGCTTTACACCATAAACGAGGTGTCAGTATGATGCAGGTGTTGCCACTTTGTAACAACACTACCTATTGTTTCTTGACAATGTTGTCAATTCATGAAAACAGCATTGAAAAATGTATGTCTCTCTTATTTGCTGGGCAAATCAAGTTTTGAAAACACAGAAAAGCCAACCATTCTGTTTGATCATCAGACTTGAATTTGTAGATTTTGTAGACAATGAAAACTGATGAACAAAAGCACGTCACTTGTACTGGGTTAAATATTTGGCCTGTTATAGTTTGAAAAACAGGTCAACAAATTGAGCTTGTCATTACATACATGTCCATGTATATTTGGTATCGCTACCTAGTCCCTGTATGTAGTACCATATATTTCATGGTACACAACTTGTCTGCTGTTTAATTTAACCCTAACAGTACCGGGCATTGTTTGGCTTAGAGTACTTAGTACTACGTAACACTCTGAGCCTGAAGGTCCTAGCGCTACAAATTACTCTTTCTGGCAAGGTTTATTCCATTATTACTGGTACAGAGAACAATAAAGACACGCATTTATAGTGCCACACGCTGTATGGTACATTGTCTTCTCTATGGTATTTTATGGCTTCAGAGAATAAAAATGTCATGTCCTCTTACAAGCGACAGGGCTGAGTACTACATTTTACTACTAAGTAGTACTTTGTAGCATTCGGGACTGTTAGGGTTAAAGTAGATGTACGTGTAGTTTTTGTAGCATTGATTGCTTTCAGTGCATGTATTTTGAAGTCAGAAAAGCTATACTCTTGCAAAAGTACAGCATAATTTATTAGTTTGGAATACACTACCATATTTTTGATCCTTTAACGTCAACATTAACATACATGTATATGGAATTGTTTCACTCAAAACATTTTTTGCACTAATGCTCATTGTTATCAATGTACTTGGATAATGGAATTTTGCTAAAACACAGAAAAAAACTATCATTTTTCTATTAATTTCAATTTGCCTAAGGTTATAATAATAATAATTAATACAAGTGCTTATATTGTGCAATTCCATAACTGATCATTGCGCTTTACAAAAAAAAAAAAAAGGCTTGAGTTAAGACGTCAAAAATAGTTCGCAATTTACATGTACACCAAACCAACCTTTTAAAAGGGTTTCAGAACTTACAAAAATTCCCATAAATGGTTACAAAAATTCCCAATTAATTACTTTCAAAAATCAAATAGAAAATAGATTTTCACCGTATGATTTCATGATTAAAAGCTTTGATAAGAATAAGTAATGACAAACTAGTAGCAGCACTTACATGTACCTGCTTTCTACATAACACAACAATGTAAATAAATGAAATCTAATTGTTATTTAGCAAAGTAGTTTGAGGAAAAAGTCTGTAAACCAACAGATCAAGTTCCATAATTCTGGGCTTAATTAAATTTTAATAAATATAACTTTCATGATCAGCTACACGTAGGCATGTTTTGATAGAAAATATAAATACATGTACATAGATGCTTTGAAGAGCCCTCTGTGGTAAATTGCACTTCTGAAAATTTTCTAGGCTTGACGATGTAAAAGGGAGCTTTCGTAATAAACAAGTTAAAAAAGTGCTCACTGTTGGCGAATTTTCAAACTTGTTTGTCCTTCATCAGGGTGGTAGTATAAATATATTCTTTGTGATAGTTTGGTGAATTAGACATATTGTAAAGTATGCACACTAGGCCACTAAGGCTACTGTGCAAAATCCAAAGCAAACGGTTTGCATTGCAGATGTGTTTTTTATTTATCATAACCATAGAGCTACAGTTTGTAGCTCTATGTTATAACCACGGACCATTTACCCAGGGATGTGCAACTTAAGCTCAGCTGGTTCAGTGTGTGTTATGGCTGGCACAATATCAAAGCAGAAATTAAATTTGTATTATGTAACACTTTCTCTAATAATAATTGTAATATTTTCAGTCAGGGTACACCCTTTCCAAAAATATGCAGCTCAAGATATTTTATCCTATACATTCTGAGGAAAGTGTACCACAAAATTGGGGAATTTTGCCTCATTAAAACATTGTTTGTCCTTGAAATCGATAAATGAAGAAGATTTATTCGTCAAAACGAACAGATTTAAGCACTGCGTCGGCGTGTCGTCTCGGCATAACCACGGCTGCACTGTACATGCTGCAACCGGTGTCATGTGGTCGCGAGTTTTTTCGAGAGAGTTGAGAGCGCCTGCGGGGGTAATAACAATCCGTAACACGCATGGAACCAAGGTCGCACATGTTTTTGCACTGGGGCCGCTTGCGGTTGCACATCCCTGGGTAAATGGTAGGTGTTATAACACACCTCTTCCTGGTTCTTTATCCTGGTGGGCTGAAATACGGCCATGTGTGGTTCACTAATATGGGGTAGTACATGAATCTGGCATCTGCGTGACTTGATACGTGCCTAGACATTACACATGCCTCAATTACTGCCCGGTCAGGTACTAGTCTTGAAAATTTTTGACTGGTTATTGTACCCTCTGGAGGTTGCTATGGCTCATTTTAAAATGTTGAATTGAAATAGTTAAAACCCAGGAAAATTTCTTTTTTTAGTTGTATTCAGCAACTCAAAATTAGACTGCATCTATGAAAACTAAAACGAACCTTCAATTTTTGAATTGTATTGAGTAGAAAGTTTAATTTAAAAAGTGAAAACCCTGCAAGAATTCTTTTCCTTTTTGAGTATAGCAACTCAAAATTAGACTGCATCAAGGGATACTAAAACGAACCTTCTATAGTTTTGCAATATTTGAAGTGCTATTGAAAGTTGAATTAAAACAGTTAAAGCCCTGGAGGAATATTTTTGTAGTTTGAGGTGTGTTATAAAACATATATGGACTGACCAAATCCAGTCACTACTCCACGCCCATACCCCCTCACTCACAGTCCCTTGGGGATATACACATGCACTAGTGACGTCGTCAGTCCATATGTGCATACTATTTACTCAAACAATCGAAACTTCAAACGCCAAATATATCAATTTATAGAAGGCAGTTCTTGTTAGTGCCTGTCATGAAAAATACACAACAAAATATCTCCAAAAGTCCAGATTTCCATGAAAGATGAACCATTAAAATAATGTATTATTCTGCCTTTGGTTGCAGGAGTTTCCTACCACTTACGATGTAGATTCTTGTCATAATCTGAGGTTCCTGGTATTGACTTTTGTGAACCGATCTGTTGACAAGAGAATAAGCATGTACATACATGTACATAAACATGAAATGAAATTTGATCACTTACATGTATATACATGTAATTCAATTAACCCTCCTATGGTTTTACAGCACAAAT